TACCAACACTTTGTTCCCCTTTTATCTTTGAAAAAAGGCCATTTAAAATGACCACATTTCAGATACTTTTAACAGTATGATCGTTAAAACGGAAATATTTTTCAAAAAGTACTGATCTATTTATTTGCTACTTTTTTTCTTACAAGCGAAATAATTACCTTTTATAAAGGATTTCCAGTGTTTCGTGTATATATGATATTGTGATATATGCATTTGAAAGCTTTATGAACTCATTGGTTTGCATTAGTAGTTAAGTGGATTTTAATTTAATGAACATTCAACATTTTAGAATTTCACTTTAGTTGCTTTAAACTATCATACTTCATAACTGCATATAAGTGAAAAGACTTAAAAATGGCATTTAAGTGAGTGTAGAGGAGTAAAATAATTAATTCGTAAAGTGATTTTCAACATCTAGAAATTGAACCCATGATCTCGATCCATTTTGAGCCATTTTTTCATGATCTCTAACCCTCAATTTTTTTTCATTTTCGGGCCCCTCTCAAGAAATTACCACCCTCTTTGTATGAATTGATTTAACACAAATTAACCTAATAGACTGCCTCCATTTCCTACTTTTTCTGTCTATACTCTGTTTCAACCCATTCCGTTCATTTCACAGCCAGAAAAGTAGGTAGTGAATTAAAACGGCCTAGTCTGTCTTCTTAAATTTGTAACCTTATTGAGTAACTGACCTTTTTGTCTAAATTATTTGCTCCTTTATTTCGAAGCCGACCATTTAGTGGTCCATCACATACGGTTAATTCTGGAAAGATATTTGTCATAGAACACCTTTCTGTCTACTGATATCTGCCATATCTCAGGAATGTAATGGATTTTTATAGTGCTTTTTGCTGTATAGATTAGCAAACCCCATGCAAATCTTTTGTATTCTTGATAAGACTTCAAATTAAAAAAATGATCAGTACGTTAAAACATTCTACCCACTATTCTTATCCTGTCTGAAATTACAGACAGGTGCGAAATGCATAACAAGTATTCTCTAATTTTATTCAAGATGCTTTGAAGACCCAATTTATTTAATATTATGGAGTACGTTTGTTTATTTTTATACATTACCCAACAAAATATTCGATTTGCTTAAATAGTTACTAGAAATTCTCACGGTATCATCATTGTAGTTTATGTGACTGTCAAAATTGGCATACTCATCTGATATCCTAGTTACACGTGAATGTAGATACTGATTAAGCTTAAGGCAGTTAGAATTAATTGGTTTATAAATTTTTGGTGGTGTATTCCGATATTTATCAATGCATTTTAAAAAAAATTTCAATTTCTCAGTTAAAGCAATGTCAAAAAAGATCACTTCCATATACTTACCTACCTATAATGATCATAAAATATTATATTTACTGATCAAACTTTCTCATTTATAAAGTTTGTTACTAATCTATCCACTCCACTTGTGACAGACAGAAGTCGAATTACACTTCATTCACTAAAAGTATACATTCTAAATCACCAGTTTATTTGCCTTTTCTCTGCTATGATACAGGATTTGTAAAAAACTCGTGAATGGTAAAATTTCTCGAATATCAAACTTTTTAATAATAAATACCCCTAGGACTAATGTGTTACTATTTTTACATTTATCCAGTCAAATAATAATAGTCTATTTGTCTATCATTTAATTTGATTTCACCCCAGACTATGGACATTTGATCAATGATATTAGTTCTTTTTTTTGTCTAATTAATTTAATCAGTATTTTCTTTTAAGGAAATAAATTGTCTATTTCATCATATGCTATAAAGAAAATTATTTCATGAAACCTTATTTAAGAAAAGACTGTCTGATAACTAATCGAAATACTTTATGAAATTATCAAGTACTAAATAATTTTATTGTAATATAAAAGTATAACTTTCAAATGTTTATGTTCAGTAATCAACTTTCTGTTAGACTCCAAAATATATAAACTTTGTAAGGGTATTATCTGATAATCCGATAAAAGTTAATCTGTTTTGTTTTGTTTTGTATCCACCTTGACTTTGAAGTTTATTAGTTCACATAATCCATGGAGGCTTTCAAGCTTTTCAAAGTAAAATTAATTCTAAACTATTAATCCTTTATACTAAACCTTTTCATAATGTCTACAGAAAACTCCCACTTCTATATATCTACTTTGTTTGATATATAATGAAACTAGCTGAAGTACTGGTCATTTCATTTGTCTGCTAAACTGGTAGCAAAGACTAATCTGAACTCTTTCTTAATTAATAGTTGGGTTTGTTCGAAATAAGCAACATAAGGTTACAGATTTTTGTCATTATAATCCTGAAAGCTATAATCACATATAATAGGATATTTCAAAATTTTATGTTTCGTGTTATGTAAAGGAGTTTCAAGCACTCGATTATAAAACTTTGGATTACAAGTTTAAGTAACACTCAATGTTACTCTAGATAATTTAGAAGTCTTTGTAACTTTCTCATAAGTTTGGCTTAAAATGTACATGTACTCGTATTCACCTACTAAATTCAGTTACTACGTTTTGTATTAAACCTGTCGAATTACGTGTTTTATGCATATAGTACAACCCACATTGTTACGTAACTAGCTTATTTAGAGAAGGGGATGAATAAAGTTTCAAAGAGTTCAAATAAAAATATCTTAATTCGTAGTCTATGATTGCTAGTCTGAACAATTATAAATATTTTGATTCAAGTCAACTAAGCAAGAGTCTTTCTTTAATGATACATTCTATTCCGTCTGATACACTAAATGCTTGCAACAGTAAATTTATAACAGATTTTTAAATTCCTGCAATCGTCGTCACTTTAACGTCGAATAAGATAAAGGGGAAAAATAAGATTTCATTTTCAAGGTTACCATATTTTGGAGAAATCAAAAGAAATTTATAACATCCTCGGTAACCTTGGCACACCTCCACGAGACCATAATTTATGGACAACTTGTCAGCGATGCCAAAGTAACCTTGAGGAAATTCACCTACTAGAGTCTAAAGAAGATTATAAATTAGTGTAAGAAATCAGAACCGGGACATAGAGTTAGAAGCTATGGTTAGGAATTAGAGGTAGGGTTTACGTCACGAACTAACGTCAACTATAGTACCAATATGGATGAATGAAGTTTGCACCAAAATATGAGACTCACTTTCTTAAATCTGATTAGTTTGTTCATAAATTATAGTCTCGCTGAAATTTCTGCGAAAAATACTGATATTTGAGATAATCTGGTTACTTTGTTACTCAATTAGTTCACCGGTTGATTGAATAAAATTAGTAAGAGCTTTTCAACCTCTTGAGATTTTAAGGAACACTTGAAGATATCTCGTATTATATATCTATTAACAATTTCATCATATAGAATTCACATTTTATTGTTCAGTATTTTCACACTCCTCTCCCTAACTTTTTTCATTTTTGTATATTCCTAATTACTGTTGGTTATTGTTATTGTCGTCGATAGTGTGAGTGTACTTATATTTTGTGATAATCATTAGACTATTGTATACCTTATGCTGTTTAACAGTTAAGGGATTTTTGTCAAGTGTTACATTATTTTCATATTTCGGCAGTAATCATATCAAAAAAACGTTTTCATTATACCATAAATTAAAAGTAACAACTATCCAAAGGACTAAAGTAATTAGTTTTTGAAAGAAAAAGACATTTTTTTGGTAAGATAAGGTCACTGAGTTCGATTCCAGGATAGTTTAGAATGATTTCATTGTTTGATATGTTTCGACATAATCCATTAATAAATAAATAATATACTTGTAATATTCCCAATGAGTATAAAAATTAGATTTTCTGACGTTTCGTGATTTAGTGTAAGTCACCAGGATTTGGTTATTTATTTATTCTCTGAAGGGGAGTGGCTTACACTAAGTCACGAAACGTCAGAAAATCTAATTTTTGTACTCATTGGGATATTAAAAACATTTTATTTATATATAACAATCTACCTAATGCTCAATTTATTCGAAATTATCAAGTCAAACCTTAGTAATGGTACCTATAATTCATTGATGAAGTCGTTTCATACATCTTAAGAAATAAGTATCATATACTTTTCTTTATAATGTATATTAGGGAAAGAACTCACTGAATAAAATATCTAATACGTTGTTATGATTCGTTCAGTCTGATAAGATTGAGGTTTCCAAAATTGATAAATTTCACTCACTTGAGTGATCTCCGAATCATAACCGCATGGATTTCAAAAGCCTGAGCACCTATCCAACTGATTATGTGTGTTAAGATATAAAAACTATTAGTCATGTCATATGCTCAGTCGAAATGGTAAAACTGAGTCTGTTTGTAAATTAACTGTGGGACAAAATAGAGATCACAAATTAACCGATGATTCCTTCAATTTTATCTATCATTGGACTATTGTTATGTAAAATCTTAATGTAACACTATCATGCCTATTTACTCGAAGCACCTGGACTGATTGTTTTTGCAATATCTACCAAATAAAATTTATGTATAATATCTGAACCCATGCAATACTTTTTTGTCGATTAAGTTTTAATAGAACGATCAACTTAATATGTTATGACAAAAAACCCAGATAACTTTGTAGTTGGGATAAAATAAAATAGTTGTTTCAAATCGATATGACGAGTAGAAACGTGGTCTCATTAGTAGTTTACTCTTTCCATTTCTAACATTAATCGATTACTTGTTATCCGATTAGTCAACCCTACTGCTTTGGTTGAATATTCTGTATGTAATTTCCTAATATATTTTTAATCCGTTGGAGAGTAATTCTGTTTCCGTAAACCTGTTCGTGTAGGAATTCGGAATAGCTTCCGCAAAAAAAATTATCCATTTGGCAGCCTAAATCACTGGAATTTTACCAAACAATTATTCTCTCATAACACGAAGTTCTTAGGACAGTTTAGATTGCTGAATAAGTATTTAAGTACTTTTAACAAAATCATGATTATAATTTTGCTATTCAATGTGGGTTGATACATCTATTTCTTGTTTTTTTTCTCTTAGAGAACTTGGTGAAAATTTATCAGATCAGGAACTTCGTGCCATGATAGAGGAATTTGATCAAGACGGGGATGGTGCGCGTAAGTTTTTAGCAGCTAGTTTATTTTGGTGCAGGTTAATTCTGTATATCTTCACTGTAAATAAAACACGCTCGTAGCAATGGTCTTTTACCAACTTATGATATTCACTTCAGTTTTTCAGGTTAATTTTGAGTGTTCCACTGTCACTAATTATTATTACTGTTATTGTGATGTGGTGTTTAAAATATTTGATGATTTGAGTGATAAGATATGAGGAATATTACGATCTTCAACTTGTACTGTACACCTCATCCTCTGGTTTTGACCTGAATCACTCAGAATTATTGTCTTCCATTGCTATACGCACAGTTTTGGCTTACACCTTATAGGTAGAACTTCTTCAGAGTTGTCGGGTATCTTTTGATTCAGTCTCAGTAATACTCATTCAATTGTCTTATTCTGTTGATTTCAATCATCTTACAGCTATTTACATATTAAAATTTAAAAAAAAGATAATGTCAAGTTAGTGTTTCATGACCACTTTATTCCATGATTCGATTAATGCACATGCTAAAAGAATGAATATTGATAAATTTCAGCATATTGTATACATCGTTTTTATTCACTACTTTTAAAAAGTTACAATAACAATAAACATTGTTATTGCTTTTATTCTTATTACTCTATGTGTAGAAAGTTGAATACATTTCTGTCATTTCCGCTTTGTATATACTTTTTCTCATTCTCTTTTCATATATATTATTTCTATGACCGATACTATATATATATATATACTTTTGAAGCATAATTCTATTGTGTATGCATTATTAGTTGGTCGCCGGCATCTAATTAACGTTTCTCATGTTCCCAATAATAAGTATACCATTTTTCATTATGGTTTGAATGCCTTATCATTATTATCACTGGTGAATAACCATCCTATCACTATACATGTCCTACATTATTATAATTAATATGAATAATTTATTCTAGTTTCATATGTATATGTTTCTAATTGTTGTTGATATCGTTACATCATTTATATGCTATAGCTCAACCAGTTTATGTATATCCATTATGTTTGTAAATCTATCTCTTGCTTTTGCATGCATGAAAAGATTGCCACTTCTTTAATATACATTAATATCCTAGTTATTTTTCACATTTACATTTGATCTTTGTTTCTTACCTGGTTTGTTTAGTTAATATTTCTCCAGACACGATTTGACAACATATCTCAATACATTTAAATACCCTATCCACATATTGTTTGACTAACGTAGAAAAATCGCATACTATTCTTTAATTTCTCTTCATTATACTTAGACAGAGGGAGACAAACAAAAGTGCTAAACTTGAAACATTATTCATCTCATGTTTTATCGTCTTCTCCGTAAGCGAATAAACTAATTTTAATTTTGAAACGTTGTAAGCGGGATTTCAGTATAGGCCAATGAGACTCGTAGACGATTTGTAGACATATGACATTTAAAAGTCTATATCAAATAAACATTCAGGGATGGTGTATGCAAACTATGTATTGGTTAAACATTCATTATCTACTATTTTGCAAGAAACATAGGCATGAAATCAATTTTTTAATTTATCATGACGAAACAATCTGTCTAGTTAACATACATTCTGTTTGACAGACATTTGTATATCTCATTTGTTTAAGTTTTTGACTTTTGTCTTATCTGTTAAGGATTCAAACTTTGTAATACTGTCTGAATTTGAACAGCTAGATGGCCTGATATGTGTCGTGAATATGTACACATTATTAGTAATAACAATATACTAGACTGTTTGAATCCAACTTGAACCCTAGTACCTGTTTCTATATTTAACTTCTACTTCATTCGATGAATTAAGAAATTTTTATCAAACCCATTTCTGTCGTTCGTTTATTTCTAAGTATATCCATTTCTTTTCTGTTACAACTAACCAAATAGTTATCGGTCCGTTGGAAAATGTTGCTAGCTATTGACTGTAAATACAAGGGATGTTATCCTAAAGTACACATCATATTTTGTGTTATGGATTTGTTACAGATTCTTAAAAGTGATTCCTTATACCAGCAAGTCAAAACTCTACACATTTTCAGTGGAGAATTAAACATTTCGACTGCTCCCGCTAACTTTGCTTCTTTGGAATTTACAACTTACCTAATATCTGTCTCAGCTTTAAAAGACGATGTTTAGGTTTTTAAATAAAGTTATTCGGATGTCGTAAATCAATAGTTGAAGGTCCTACATGACTTAAATGTATATCATCTACAATGACGCAGTTGCATTCACTGCTTACATTTCTTTGAATTTGAATCATCTAATTTTAGTTGCATAGGTTTATTGACAAGTTGACTGTATTCTCATCGTTTACTTTACCTTATCATCTTCTGTTTTTTGAATTTTTTTAAAATGTTTTGATGAATCAGAATCTATTCATTTTTATATGTTTTCTGTTTACTACACTACTCAATCTTCTTATTTATGTTAAGTACATCATTTATTGGAACCCCGCTGATGGATAGTCCGTATTAACAAAGTGGGCATACTTAATTCCAAAATGAAGAGATTAGGTTTGCTGTTACAGTACTCGATTCTCAACTGACAGATCATGGGTGTGAACCTCATTTATCGATTCTTGTTTTAGGCAGATAATTTATTTCACTTTTCCCTCACACAGTTAATCTGGATTAAAGCAAACTTTTACTTGGTAAATGTGTGCAACTATTGTTTAGTTGCACATTATATTAGTTTCAGTATTACTGACTTCTTGAATGGATAGTGAATGCTATTGATTTCTGAATACAATAATTTTATTGCAGAAGTATTTATCCAATTATATTTTATCGAATACAAAAGCATTATGATTTCTTTAGTCACCTATTGATGATTCAATTTATTATATATGTATTTTGATGCTTCTTAAAACAATTCAATAAATCATAAAATATACGTATACTACATCATTAATTCTTTCTACCATTTGACGTGAGCTTATATTTATAGCATATGTTTCAGTAGACAGAATGATTGATGTATCGATCTGTGTTTGAGAGGATCTATTTCTTCAAATTCAGAAACTACCCATCTAGTCCCCTGGAAAATTAAGCCATATTTTCAACCAATAACATATGTCTGTTTCCTCAGAAAGCTAAACCAAATCCTGACCAACAACATGTCCTCATTAACATATTTCACTTCTTATTTGGTCTATATCTGATTAACCTAGAGTATCATACAATCTGTAGATATCATACATGGGATATATATTCCAGTAAATTAATTGACTGAAGAGAATAATCATTTTTGTTGTTTTGATGGTGAATCATCTAAAACTTAAAGAATATTATGTAAATAGGTTGAAAATCAGGTCAACTTTATTTTCTCTTACATGTAAAAATGTATAAAAAGTATATCTTTCCATTTGGATAAATTTGTTAAGGATAAATTCATTATGCACTTCATAAATACGATAGAAATTCAATCTTATTAGTTATTTCGTTATGTTTAGTGTCACTTTTGATTTGTTTTTTGTATTGTATTTGCGCAATATTCATAACCATATAATCTGAGTTATGCTTTTTGTACATAAATGAAGTTTACTTCATTGTGAGGAAACTAAGCTGTTTTATGAATTGCTTAATTATCTTTTTTGTCATTTCTATTTGACCGGAATAATTGCTATTATTAGTTAGCGGTTATTCGTGTGTATGTCATTATTCATATTTTCTTATTTTTAAGAGGAGGACTGTCAGACCTCACCACAGTGACAAAACCTACACTCCCGAGCGCACCCGATTAGGGTTCATTGTGAGTTTCAACCCACCGAGGTGAAATGGTGACCCTCCACCAGGGGCCAGAGCATCCTTGAACCCGGCGCTAGATATTAAGTATGTGAGGAATATATTAGTCTTGATACAGAATGTAGGCACTTGCCATTTTTCTTAACTCCCCTATCCTGATTGTAACTGATTACTAATAAAAAAATTTCCATCTCTATAGTTTAAATTGTTTATCGTTCAAATAATTCTAAAATATGTTGAATCGGTCTTATGAGTAATATACATTGTATTCAGTATTATCATATCAATTATTGTTGTAATTTATTCTCATACTTTCTTTCTTAGTTAATTTGGAAGAATTTATGGCACTAATGACAAAGGAAATATAATTCACCAAATTGTTTATTGAATCAAACCAATAACTGTGTACTTAATTATCCCAGTTAAATACATATCTTCATTCTTCTGAACTCAGTTTGATATGACCAGTATAGTTTGAATCTGCCTTCCTTTTGAATTTGATACTGTTTTTTGTGTTTGTGATGTACGTACGTACGAAGTTCTACGTTGTTACTGACTGACTTTGTGTTTGTGAACGATCAGCTCCCGATATGGATGGTGATTATTGTTGATGGCAGTTGGTCTACACTAAAAAAAGTATTCCATCTTATTTATTTCCTCTTACTGGGCATCATCATCTATGTATATTATCATTCTGTTCAATTCTTTAAAATATTTCAAAAATAATCTACATTCTTCTACTTTTATTGTTCACAGCTTTCTCACATTTATGTAAAATACATTATATACGTATATAAATATCATGTATATTGTCTAACGTAAAAGCAACAAGAAATGCTCTAAGTCATAGTTAAACATAATCTATAAGAAAATATAGGTTTCATAACTTTTGAAAACCTGATTTGATTCTCGCTGTAATCATCAAGTAAATACACTTCATTATTGTGTGGTGTTATATAATAAAACCAACTTTACATATCTTTTGTTAATGTGATAATCAGTTTTGATAATAACACTTGGAAAAATCCAGGACTTTGTCATTGTTTGTCTGATTACATAATCCATTCGATAGAGTACTAACCTGTTAATGTGAGGATTGTTGGTATAAATATATTCACTTTTAACGCTCTCATCAATTGAATTGAATAATTGATCACGTAGCAGTAACCAATCCCTTGTCTAGACCTCGGCTATGAACATATCTTACTAGTCGGTATCATAGCGCACTTTGTTTGATGTTAAGTATTTGAAGGTAATCACCAGAAAGTCAGCTACAACGTAGGACTAGGCACATATATACATCGGTTCAAGTTGCCACACCTCATTAGCGCAACAAGATAAACACCAAATTCATAAAAGTAGTCACTTCAGTGGTAGTAATGCATAAAAGAAATATTGTATGTATAGTATAGAAAGAAAAAATTAGTTCGCAGAAAGAAAGACATAAAGCAATTTTAATCTCACGGTTTAAGGGAAGCAAAGAGTGATCGATTCTGAGCCATGTCACACAAAGTCTCCAAGCATTGGTTACGATAGTCACGCTGACCCCAACCATGTAGTCTGCATCTACCAACACGGCTCGGACTAGGAGTTAGTGACTTCAAGGACTGATGCCACTTTTTGGTTTGGCCACCCCTAACTTTCTTCCAACCGTCTCCAACACTAATCAGCATTGCGCGTCGTGGTAAACGGTGTTCAGGCATGCGTAACACGTGGCACAACCATCTCAGTCGATGAAGATCCGTGACCTCATCAACTGATTTATCATCATTCCCTAATACTCTGCGCCTAACCTCACTATTACTTACCCGGTGGTCCAAGCAGATAAGAGCAATATTTCTAAGACATATTTGATCAAATACTATTAACTTACGAGTATCCTCTACTCTTCAACACCACGTTTCGCAGCCGTAAAGAAGAATAGAACGAACTGCTGTGCAGTATACTCGTCCTTTAATTGATAGACGGATATCTCGCCATAGGTGACGTGAGTTGACAAAAGCCAGACGAGTTTTCTGAGTCCGTGCTGAGATTTCATCAGACACCATCCCATTTGAGCTGATCAAATGTGTTCAACTACTTCACTTCCGATCCTTAGTTCAGGCGTTGATTCAGATCAGTCCTGAAGCAACAACTTGCATTTAGAGTGAGAAGAACGCGTACCAAACACTCTGGCATTGTTGGTCAGTGCTACTGGAGGACTCTGCATTTTGTCAGCGTCTTCATGAAACAGGACTATGTCATCTGTGTATCCCAAGTCCATAAGTGGACCTCTTGGTAGTCGGTCAATTCCTCAAAGTTCAGTCGACGAGAAAGTTATTTCCAGCAGTAGGTCTGTGATGAAGTTAAACAAAAATGAAGATAGTAAACAGTCTTATCGGACACCATTTGAGGTTGCAAAATCAGTTGACAATTCGCCATAAGCTCTGACTCGATTGGTATTTCATACACATAGTTCCCTTTATTATCTTAAAGAGAGCAAGAACAAAGATTGATACAGAATAATATGGCTTAATTTTATTTCGTTAGGTTCTAATAAGCTGCTTACAACCAAAAATATTTAAAATTCAACATTATTACGGATATTGACATACTTATACATAAGAGGGTGATTAAGGATGAATAAATGTATCATGGTGCACCAATCTTTGTTCTTGCTATCGACTGGTACTGTTCGAGTAAAAAGCCCTGACAAGATTTCTGATGTACACCTTTCAATACAGACTTTTCCACAGAACGTCTCGGTTTACAGAGTCAAATGCTGCTTTTAGGTCAAGATAAACTATCATTGTTGGACGCCGATAAGCATCCCAGTGTTCTATAATCTGACGAATGGTGAATATTTGGTCGATTCAACCACGATCAGGTCTGAAACCAGCCTGATTTTCTTGAGTTTGCAGTTCACGAGTCTTTGTTAGACACCTGATAATTATTGTGGCTAGTATTTTAGATGTTATATTGGTCAAACTAATCCCCCTATGGTTATCACAGGATGATTTCGATCCTTTCTTATATATTGGGACAATCAGTGATTGCGACCAGTTGGATGGGATTACATTCACTTCCCAGATTTTAGCTAAAATATTAGTCAACCTAGAATAGTTGTCCATGGTGACACTTGAGAAGGAAGTCAAAATAGTTGAAAGTCGATGTAGGAGGAATAATAGGAATTGAAGAGCGAGATTGATTATCTATACAGTAGTATTGAGTGCTGTTGGAAGTATGTGGGCAGTTATCACTTCCCGGTTTCCCACACCGAGGAAGGGTTCTTCTGAAGGCACCTGGAAAGGAAATTGGGTTAGAGGTGGTCTTAGAGACCTGAGAGCGTGACCACAGTACCCCTGTTACAACTGACGAAGTCGGTCACACACGACCTTTTTGTGAATAATTCTTGTGTTTGCTCCGTATTTGTTGAGACCTTACCACCGGAGACGGATGTCCGTGGGATAAGGCGAGGTGTGCATTTTCAGGGTCGACCTTTTCTAACCCCACCCTTCCTTTGTGGGAGGGCAACATCGCTGTCATGCTGGTTGTCGGAGGGAAACACCTTGTTGCCGTCATACCTTTGTACAGTCAGCAGTATGACTTCGCCCTCAGATCTTGGGCTTGCTGGTTTTAGTATTACCGCTTTTCAACCGACCTGTCTGACATGGTAGGACTATTAGGAACGATTATTCCAGCCAGTATAGCTCGATTGGTTCATTACGATAGGCAAGCTCGACCACCACGTCAAGTTATCAGCAACGGTCGGGAATTAACACCGTTCCCTTAATTTACTGTTTATGCTAGGTGACATGAGATAGCGAGATGTGCTCGAAAACTGGAAGGAAACACTGCTCTCTGTGGGATTCAAATTTACATCACCCAGTGCTTGTTAACTATTTGGTTCATTGTAGCAGGTCATTCACATCCCGAACAGCTTTCTGGGTTTACCTCCAGCTATCTAACGTCAAAAGTGCTTATTAAAATATAGTAAAATATAATTTCATGTGAGCATTACTCTAAGCTGAGTGTTGCTAAGCTACTCAAACATGTTAGAATGAATGCTTTCCAATTTCGCCATAAATGAATCCTGATTCAAATGAATAAACTTACAATATGCTGTCGATCCACTAGCCTTTTTAACAAGACTTGGTTAAATAAATTAACAGTTTGGGGAACAAAACTGGCGTTTCCTGTAAAACATTAGTACATTTGAACCCGAGTAACTTAAGAACTCATAAATAAAGGATAAGTGTTTCTCCAACAAGTAACCAAGTTCAGAAATATATACAGAACATTTTTATCAGCTACTGAACGAACAATAAAAAACTAAATCGATACTAGTTACCAGTACGTCTCCCTTACCTAAGTGATAGACTTTCCAAATACAACCATCAGTGATGAGTGAATGTGGCTTGCTTTATAGTCATATCCAATATTTCAAAAGTTACATATTTGAATCAAATTCTGAATGGTAAATTATTCAGAGCTATACTAAGCTTGTATTTTAATTGAAATGACATGGTAGTGTATAGTGTTCTGCAACTAAGTTTCTTATTGTTGACATCCCACTACTACAAAATAATAGATAAATTCAACGAAGCATTTACAACTAGAGGATTCAACTTTGAGTAGTGTAATATTTTAATTAAATACTTTATCACTACGCTATTTAGGTAACAATGTGGTTATTAGATGTGTGATGATTAGGAGTATTTGAATTATAGTATGATCTAAGAATCCCAGGAATAACGTAATCGGATCAAGAAGTACTAGATAAACACGAACGAATGTACTGTATTTGGAATTCGAAATCAAGCATTCAACAAGTACAAAAGAATCATTAATTCATTTAAACACCACAAGATGTCACTTAGGGATTTCACCGTTCTAAAACTGATTTCTAAATACATTTCAATCCAAAAAAAGTTAACTAGCTACAGCTTGAGCAATTGAGTGGTAAATTTCCTGGCTAAAGTAATTAATGGCAGACAAGAATTTTTAAGGGATAGACAGTTTTTCGAAATTTCTTACTGCTTTGATTGACGAATTTAGTGAATCACAGAGGTAATTACACTGAGTGATCTGCAAGTTTTGGTAAAATATTTAATGATTCTAGGTATGACAGTGGACATAGGTTTCAGAACCTTTTTATTTTCAGTAAGTTAAGAAAAAACAATGTAGTCTTGTGAATATATTAGAATGGAAAGGATAAAGTATGAGGAAGTTTCTAAAAGACCATTAGTTTTGTGCCACAATATGTATTCAGCAGTTCGCGAGTTTTTGGGATGACAAATTTATATCATTGGAATAGCCTGTTGTATATGTCCATCACAAATCGACTTAATCTACTAGTCAGCTCCAGTCACCTCCACTTATAGAAGAAAACACGTAATTGTAAATATGCATAAATTGAATAGTAGATTAAAAAGAATTTAAAATATTGGATAAAAGCATTCCAAATAAGACCAGAGAATTCCTAAACCCTGAAACTCAGGTCATCATGCATAGACCAATAATAAGAAAGGTCAGTAACTAGTAACCAAATATAAGGTCAGTGATTAGACGATGAAAATGGACAGTCAAAATCTGTGTGCAAGCAATGATAATATAATTAAAGGCAACACTATTCTCATTACATATCGACAAGTTAAGCTATAAGCCAATTACAGAGATACTTTAGTGATTCATTTTTACTAAGGCTTTACCTATTATGTTCCTCAGAAAAAATCATTAGCTTTCAGGTTAATTCATCCTGCTGAGGAAACATGAATGTCACTAAAATAATTTTCCACATTGAAGTGAAAATCCACAGTATGA